CATTATGCAGAGGTTAGGCCGCCATTGCACATAAGTTCTGGACTCGTTGTGAATACTCTATGTATACGCCCAAAATTGAAAAAAATACATAGAAAGTTCAGCGTACGCCAGAATTTTAGGAGATTCTGGGACGTCAGGCAGATGCTGGATAAATCGGCACGGTAAGAAAAGGTCCTGAAGTAACACTTCTTCTTCTGTTGGATTTTGTGCATCTATGTGGGAGGATTTAGCCTGTTTCCTTCAGGAGGTTGACCTCTAACCCCTCTTTGCTTGTTCAGCCACTTTCACAGCATGGATGAGTTCAGCCTGTACGAGCTGCTGGACGCCCGCACCCAAAGCGCCGTGGCAGAGGGCCACAAGGCCAGCTTCTGTTTGGAGGACACTTCCTGCGACCCGGGATACTACCGCCGCTACGCCTGCACCTCACACACTCAGGTTCAAACACACACACACTGCTACACTCAAATCTGGTGAAGATTCTCAGTCAATCCAAAAAAAGTTTAAAAAGTTTAAAAATAAACTCACTGGACTTTGTTTTCCAAGTTTGAAGATGTTTTGCTTCCCATCCAGGAAGCTTTGTCAATTCAAAATGTCTGGAGAAGTGTTTGAGTTCCAGGCTTAAGGGCTGTGTTTCCTCCCGCAGCAGTGTGTCGCAGTTAGCTTGTCACAGGAATGATGCAGATATTTTTGATTTATACCTTATGTGTGCACTATATCATTCCACGCCACAACGCAAGAGGGACAATTATGAACTAGCTAGGATTGTAGGTGTCCGTGTGTCGGTTTGACGATCTTGTTCGCCGTCTACAACCCCTCATCCAATGCCGGACGACACGCGGTTCACCCGTGGGTGTTCCCCAAAGACTGGCCCTGGCGCTGCGTGCAAACCAACAGACCGTCGCACAGAGCTACAAAGTAGCGTCCTGCACGGCGTCTGTGATAGTGTCAGAGGTGTGCCAGGCGTTGTGGACGGAACTACAGACAGAGTTTCTGCCATTAGGAACCAAACGGGAAATATGCATCGTGTAGAGCGGATGTAGAATTGACCAATCAGACGCTATCTGCGGCACTGTCTGTGGTCACCTACAATGGGAGTGCACCAGAGTGTCAATGGAAGGGGGGATATCTGCGTTAACTGCAACACACACGCAAAGGACCTGTTTTCTGAGCATAAATCAGGCTTTATAGAGTCGCCTTAAAGAGAGGAGTTGGTCTCAGATTTCAGCTCTCAAAAACCCACAACGCAGCAATAGAGCTATTATCTTAATCCTCTTCGCCATGCAGGGGACCAGGACATCTCGCCTGGTCAGCCACGCCACAGCGACCCTAACGACTCCCCTTTTCAGAGGCTTAGGCCATTACTGGGTATTGCAGGCCAACTAAGACCTCAACGACTCCTAATTCCTAAGGGCTGGACCTGGTCCTCCAGTTAAATTAGCATGTTTTAGAAAGCCGGGTATACATTGTACTATTTTTTGCAATTGTTGCATGCAGCTACAGCTCACACTGTACGACGAAACTGCAGAGTTTCTTCTTAAAGTGTGAGTTCACAGCTCACTATGTTTGTTTTCACACTGCGGCCTGATGCTCTGATGCGATCTACCTGCTCACACTGTTCGTCTAAAAACCAGGTGGGAGTCAGCTCCGCAGTGAGATGGCGCTACTGGGACTCGTCTATCTGGAAGCCAAACGAGTAGAAGAGGAATGTGAAGCTCACTAGAGTGAAACGCGCTGCCTTGGATATTTGTGCAACAATTTTGTGCTGAAAGCTCGAAAAAGAAAAGGAGACGACGTATTTTGGACAAAGACATGGCTGAGCTAACATGGCTACTACGGTTTGACAATTTACAGAAAGAACTACATTTCCCTCATTGCACCCCCGCCATGCTTCTCAGTTTTCATCTGAGAGGAAGAAGAAGAAGAATCCTTGTCTGCGCACTGAGCGATTTTTCCTCGGCCGCCTTATGATGGCTGACTGAATTTGAAACATGTGTGATTTTCTCCCGACCTTATGATTCCTGATGGGGAGGTGGTCGTTAGAGGCTAATTGCACCTTGTTACCCCCTGTACTAGCGGACGCATGATCAGGCTGTAAGTCGCAAACCTGGAGAATCAATCCGAAAAGGGCAAAAAATCGTAGTTTACGCCCGACTTAAGTTATAACAAGGCTTTGTTGGTCCACTCTATAAAGCTTGGAACTCAACGCTAATTCAGACATTTTGAATTAAAAAAGCTTCCTGGATGGATGAAGCAAAACAAAGTCCAACTAATTGTTTTTTAACTTTTTTAACCTTTTTTGGGTTGCTGCAAAGTTAGACGTCGATTCATCCAACCAACCTACTGCTTGTTAGATTCTCTGGTTGATTTTATCACACTAATCACCAGGATCAGAGTTCACCAAAGTGACAGTTTAGGTTCTTGGAGTTAAGAGTAACGAGCGGAGCATCAGAAAGCTAGAGGTTCACGGATGTAGGGATTTACAGAAGAGGGTTGGTGCCAAAGATCCACTGTAGCGCCCTCTAAAGGGAGCAGAAGGAAAGACGAGGGGTTGAATCAGAAATCATAAATTACCT